ATCTTTCTGCTTACGCTGGGTATGGAAATTAAATAATACACACTTGAGAACATTTTCACCTTAATATATATATATATATATATATATATATATATATATATATATATATATATATATATATATATATATATATATATATATATATATATATATACTTGTATTCTTTCATCCATCGATCTTTATCTTACTCATCATATAGCAATAATTAAATGGTGTCCTCCATTAAACTGTCAATTCAATACTTCATGCCATTGTCTCACAATCTTGAATTCAGAGATTTTTAGACATAAGACACTGACCAAACCATTGCCAAAGCCAATTAACTCGCTGAAATCGATCAACCATCGTATTTACAACTTGAGCAGTTACTTAGTTTGCATCAACAAAAGTTCAAAAATGTAGCCTATAACGATTGCTTTTATCACAGAGCAAGCTACATCTTTATACAATGTTTTTAATAAATCGAACTTCTGTACGCCATTTTGAAAGACAAACGAGTCCAATATATTTCATTCTGTCTGAAGATGAATTTGAAATACAGTAAAAAATTTACATTCTCAACTTGCGTCTTGTCTAGAATGATATATTGTATTCTCAAGAAGTCTTGTATTTTCGAAATTTGTTTTTTTAACTTTATTACGCACAAGTTTCAACATTGTAAAATGTCATAAATACATTACAGTTATATGCTCTTGTCTTAGTTCCTTTAGGCAGAAGTCCTCCAGATGTAAAAGGGTTAGAAGAGGAACATTGGGTAAACTCGACTAAAACGGTCTTAACCTGGAATTCAAATGCAATCAACGACTCATATGTTGACATTGAAATATTTCAGTTTGATACCTCTGATTTCCGTCTTCATCAAGATAGTTTAGCCCGCTTTGAACATGTCCCTAACTCTGGAAACTACCATCTTGATTTTGGCGAGAAAAGTATTGCTTCTTCCGCTAGGTAAGTACCTCATACAAAAAATAGGTAAGCAGTGTAAAAAAGAATCGTACGCAGAAGGGTACGCGAACATAATTAGAATACTTCAAACTTGAAATAATTTTTAAAGAATTTTTGTTTTAAAGTTTCACATTTTTTTTTTCATTTTGTTAACTTCAAATTATATATTTCAAATCTATTTACTTATTCAAAGTTATACAAAAGTCCTAACTTATTAATGTGGCAATGTCTGAGAAGTTTTCATTACTCCGGCTTCATCATGCTTATCAATAATATTTAGAAAAGGCTTTAGATTTGAAGACGAGTTTGACAGCGTATTTGTCGTAGGTTATTGAATTGAACACACGTTTTTGTGGATATCTTTTTTTGCGCGACATCAATATTTTTGTGTGCGTATGAAAATTTTATGACTTATATGACGACGACATTGGTAAATCCCCTATCTTCCAGAGAATAGTATATTATAACTGTATTGCGTTTATCCCCAAATTACAACCTCAGATAACCCACATGCTAATAGTTACTAGTACATTTTAGTTTACAGAAGCATATATACAGTACATTTGTCCCGAAAAAAGTATACCTTGTGAAATTTTCCTTTTGTAATAATTGGAATGCCTGAGCATTATGCTGAACCCACGGAAAGGTAAAATACAGGGTGTATTGAAATAAAACGAGACCAAACAGTTAATAAATAACAATTTTCTTGTTAAAGGAAAATGACAATATGTTTTTTATTCTCTAATTTGAAAGCATTAACTTTAAGAGTATTTATAATAGTTATTTTTTGAGTATTTTTTAAGAGTATTTATAATAGTTTTGTAGATATGCATGTGACGTCAAAACAGGGGTCACGTAATATTTTTATCTAGACAAACACTAATCATTTTGCACGCAAAATTATACTCTGTTCGCCTTTCGAAATATCAGTATTACACGATACCTTTAAAACATCTACCAATCAATATTTGGTCAGCAACGAATGCTTTTATATGGTTAATCCCTGTTGTGACGTCACCAAAACCACCGTTAATTAATGAAATCAAAAATTTATCCAAGATGGCGGACATCTTATTACTTCAAGTGAAAATATTTCAAGAACTAAGCAAGAAATAAAAAGTCGGTAAAGAATTTAGTATATAGTTTCAAAAGTTCTTAAAATTAATTTCAAATGAAGAAATAAAAATTTATATTACCATTTCCCTTTAAGTACCAGAATATCTACTACTGGAACTTTAAAATAGCTTCTAATATTATAGAAGGATAGTAACTACAAAAAAAGTTTAAGTTGCTAATTAGTCACACCCGGTAAGCTCGGGCAAAAATGGTTCAACTGACCACGGGGCAAAGAGTCTTTATCGTATTATGGCCGTAGTGCAAAACGCTTTTCGAGCAAGGTTCTTGATCGGAATTCTCCTACAAAAAGGACAGTCATGGACGTAGCGAAGTATTTTCCGGGGGGGTAGGTACATGATCTAAAAAAAGTTGTCTGAATTTTTAAGACCTTGTATCATGCAAGGATACTGACTATTTTAATCAATTATTTCCTATGAACGACTAATTTTAATATTAACAAGACGCCTGCTCAGGCGTTCACACTGGCCTCGCAGTTGGTAAAATACCATCGCAATACTCTAAAAAATAATTTGAAACATGTAGATGTTCTTCACTTCTTGACGGCCGTCACTTCATGATCACAAACATTCAGAGGATGGCACAATAAAAATCCATACGAAACCAATAGAGTTCAGCGATATCATATCGAAAAACACAGAAAAGTTCAAGCACATGCGCAATGAAACATAATAAAATACGTCCCAAAATTACTGCGCTAGCATCTAAGATTTGCAACGTAGTTAAACACGAAAGTCGTTCTGATTAACATTATGTAGAATTGGTCCTAATAATCGTCGTGATCATGCTTTAGCTAAATTGCGAAATCCTGAGTTCACGATGCCGCAATGGAAAGTCACACTTGCGACAACAAAAACCCCCCGAAAAAGACAGCATTTTCAAGCAAGGGCAAATTATGGCACTGGCTGCGGCCAAGTGATCTAGGATGTCTTGGTAGACGTGGATTTACCCCTTAAGAAGCCATGCTGTAGATGGTAGAAACGTGGTGATAGAAATCACTAGAAATCACTGACAGGCTATATCATAATATTGATAGAAATCACTGACAGGCTATACATATAGTGATAGAAATCACTAGAAATCACTGACAGGCTATATCATAATATTGATGTTGGTGAGCTGAATGAGTCGTCTTTCTTGATCTCAAGAAGGCGTTCGACACAGTTAATCACCAAATACTATTAAATAAACTTAACTGTTACGATATAACCGGAACTGCCCACAAATGGTTTGCATCATACTTATCCAATCGCTCACAGTATTGCCAGGTAAATGGAAATATTTCTAAATAGTCAAGCATGATTAGTGGAATACCAGAGGGGTCAATTCTTGGTTCCCTGTTATTCCTACTGTATATAAAAGATCTCCCTAATTGCATAAATAGTGCTAAGTGTAACATGTTTGCTGATGATACACAAATTGATACATCTGGCAATGACATAAATACTGTTACAAACGCACTAAATAATGACCTAAAAAATGTATCTGACTGGCTGACCGTAAACAAACTCAGTTTAAATACTAAAGCCTGCGCACACGATGCGATTTTAGTCGGCCGATAAAAATCCGATATACATGCATCGATATACATCGATATACATGGGCATACTCCGCACACGATTACGAAAAAAATACGCTCCCTGAACTGTAGCCGCCATGTTGCCAAATAATCACAGCATGAAATCTGATTGGTTATACTTACAATTTCACCGTTAAAAATCGTATAATATCAAAACGTTTTGATGTTGTCCAATTAAAATCGAGCAATAAAAATCGGTTAAAAATGACACCGCACACACAACGATTTTGTTAGTTTTAGTCAAACGATTTTTATCGGCCGACTAAAATCGCATCGTGCACTCTAAAAAATAGATGTGTTGGAATAACACAACTTTTCTGTCCAGAAAACAACACATCTTTAGCTGTGTTTAAATAGCACACATTGTGTGTTACGGTAACCCACCAAAAGGTGTGTTTTATGCTTGTCCAGAAAACAACACGCCTTAAGCCGTGTTACTCCAAAAGGTGCGTTAGGAGACACGCTTAGGTGTGTTATTAGTAATCCGATGTGTGTTAAGACAGCACAACTTAAAGGTGTGTTGCTTTAGCACGTTTAGGCGTGTTCTGCATGTGCTGAAACAGCACGCCTTTACGTGTGCTAAAACAACACGCATTATAGGTGTGCTAAAGCAACACGCCTTCACGTGTGCTAAAACAACACGCATTATAGATGTGCTAAAGCAGCACGCCTTCACGTGTGCTGAAACAACACGCCTTTTGGGTGTGCTGAAACAGCACGCCTTCGGTTATGGCATGCTAAAACAACACGCCTTCTTGAGTATTAAATTACACGAACACGTATTTTGTATTATATGGTCAAAAAATATTTTAATTCGAATGTACACAATATCAATATGAAAACGGCCTTGTAAGGTCTGCTGTGTAATACATTAAAATATTCTACATTAGAACATGCAAATATAACAAATGAATGCAAATTGTTCATATCAGACGTTTTCATACAGTTATTAATATGGCAGTAAAATACAACGCCATATTTGCGAGGTTAACATCCATTATAATCGCACCAGTCTAGGCTTCAGTCTTTTCTTCATTAAGACATTTTTCATCTACACATCTATCTTAAATAAACTCCAGTTCCAAATGGGATAAATATTGTTGCAATCAGATAAAGTAAGCAATTTGTAATAGAAATGTCCAATTAGGCTATTTGCCATAAACATATCAAATATAGAGTGAGGATAGTGGGCATCAAATACATCAATAACAATCTGCATGATATAAGGTTAACCAGGGCTTCCAAGAGATTTGTTGTTGTCGCAAGGATAGACTTATCTTTCTCCAAACAAATGCTTTAAAGCTAGCATCTTCTGGTGTGGTGGTTACTACAAGTTTAAATTCTACCATCTTGACTTTGAACAATATGTCAACTTTGGCGTGAGGAGATTGCTAAGTATAAAAACATAATTCAATAAATTACCGCGCTAAGGGGAAAGTGCTCGTGGGCTGTAAGGGTGTGGGTGTATTAAATGTTCACAATCGCACTTTATTTAGCTTAAACAAAAACAATCAAAACTTTTGAATTTGAAATGAAAATTGCTGCATAACAGTATTTCTGTGTCAAATGAATCATGCATTTGTACATAGCGGCAAGAAATACAGTAGCTCATCCCACCATAACATTAATATGCAGATAATGCAGCAATCGAAACTCACAACCACACATACAGTTTCCAGCCTTACAATTAAAATGCAATTGAAATAGATGCGACAAGTCTTTAACCTGACAAAATGCAGGAATTGTATCAAATGCTCGATACCTGATTCTATGGCAAATAGGCAATTTATATACTTTTAGTTTGGATTGTTTCCAATAAGTTTGTACATAATTATAATATTAATACAGTACCAAACATTTCACTTGAAAATGACAATTGCTGCATAACAGTGTTCCTGTGTCAAATGGGACATTTGTCAAGGGCGGCAAGGGATGGGTCATCCTACCCTAACACTTAGTAGCCCCCCAATAATTTGCTAAGAATCATTCATTTTTCAAAATCATGCAGACCTTTATTATTTAATCCATGACAAACTGCAAAGAATGAAGATATTACCCATACTTTCCTGCAACTTATCCAATATATCGTTAATTAAATACACCTTCGTCCATTTAGTACTACTGAATTCTAAATTTCCACATACTAAAAACGCTGTTTTCTGATAATCAGAAATCTGTCAAATCTTCCCCAAAGTCCAGGAAATGGCATTTCAGAGACTCTAAATTTAAAAATTTCCTCGGGCCTTCGGCCCTCGCTTTCAGCCCCCCCCAAACGAAAAGAGCTTCCTACGGCCCTGCTCTCCCCCCCTACTATTAAATGCGATACCACACCAAACGTTTTGTTACCAACAAACCATCTATCATTGCGCCACACTTGGTATAGTATGGTCCCTTTTTGTAGATGCCCCCCCCCCCACTGACGAATTCTCAAAAAATGCCCTGTTGGGTAAATAAAAAAATTACAGTGTTTTTCGATTCTCTTCGGTACCAACCCCAGGTATAAATAATGAACGGTCCCTTATTGGTCATAATATGGTAACAATAAACGAACATATTATACCACAATGCTATTATTAAGATAATATTAAATAATATAGCATAAAGTAATATATCAATAATGAATATAACTACCATTTATTACAGAAAATATTACAAAAAATATTGTTTAAAAATTACGATACACTTACCTTGGCGATCATTCCTACCAATGATCTGTTATGTCTCCCCATCGTTTCGAAGGGTAGGCTAAGTTGTTCCTCTTCCGAGTGCCGATTGCATGGTCATTTGCTTTGGAGTAGCCTTTCTTTTGTTTGCGTGTGACTTTTCCTGTTCTTTCTTCTCTGCGTCCACGTTTTTGTACTCCGAGTTCTGCTTAAATTTCAAATGCTTGAACAAGTTTGACATGTTATTTTCAAGGCTTACAACTTCCGCGCAAATGGTGCGAGATACTTTACTTCTGTCAGATTCTTCGTCTTGATCAAAATATCGCCAGGCAGCACACCTTTTCATCGCAAATAATATTAATATAATCTAATATAATTTATAATTACAATAACCAACAATAACGCGCCCTATGGCGCCAATAATCAAATAATGGCGGGAATTTACTGCTGGTCATTACTGTTGGTAAGTGAAAAATGTTTTACTTCATGTAATCCAAATAAAGCTTTAAGTGTTAAGTAAAACAACAGTAAGTCAAATTTTTTTATATCTGACTTATTTTTGGCTCACTATTTTGATGAAGTTAATTTAACGGTTTTTACTTTTTTAGTCTTTTGTTTGACAAAATAATTCTAAGAAAAATTAAACTCGCGCTGAAAAAGGGGTGCAAGTATCGAACGATACGAGGTCAGTAATCGATACCGATACCGCTGGACTTGGTATCGCTGGTATCGATTATCAAGTACTCGGTATCGCCCATCACTAGCAATTGTAAACATGGCGTCTTCTGATTCCGTGATTCATGTTTAATTTATTTTGATGGAAAAAAAAGGCCCACTTGCAAGTTTTAGTGCGGTTTCGTATCAAAACCTTTTAGATTGTCGTAGAATTAACGCTAGACAGGGAAGAACGCAATGTTGCTCAAAGAAGTTTGCAATTTGTTAGCGACAGCATGGAAGTACAGTAGCACGGTCGAAAATATCGATGCAAATTTCTCTTATCATCGAGGTTGTTACTCGGCATTCACAAATAGCAGTATGATCAATCGAGCTCAAGAGCGTAGTCAGAATATGGACAAAGAAGGTGTACCTTCATCCTCTGGTATCGATATTATTGATGAAGAAATTATTCAAGAAAGGGAATCAGATGAATACGAGTTTGGCAGCTAAATCATGGAATCCCAACTTGTTGCCATGCGTTTGTTTGGTTTGTATAATTTGCAAATCAGAAAAGTCGCATTTCACTGAATCGGTAAGTTTATTGAATTATTTTTCTTTACAATTATTGTTATTTTCCTAATATGTGTTTTATAATTTATAATTATATATTGTCATATTGATTGCATTGCCTTTAGCCGCTCCCGTTATAACGCGTATGCATGGGTTTTTTTTATTGTTTAGAAGTCGAAAAAGTGAAAGCTAGACAAAATGGAATCTGTGGAAACAGTATAGATGGTAAGAAACTGAGAGAAGCTGCAACAAAGACAAGCTGATGAAAGTATTTTGATTCAAATTGGCATTGAAAGTGAAATACCGTAAACATTGTCGACATTGTTATGAAAAGTATACACATGTAAAAGGTTTCCACAACTTGTTTTCCATAGAGCAAAGGCAGGGGTGGAAAAAGTATCGGAACATGGGAACCTACAATCTTGGACATAACTGGTTGAGACTATTTTCCCGCCATAGAAAGTTCGCGTATTTTTATGATAAACTCCATGTTGAATCATGTTGCCATCCTTAAACCCCCGCTCCCCCAACTCAATGTTGAGCTTGTATCATGGTATATTACCAAAAGTTGTTTCGGCGTTGTTCACAACATTGAACTGGGGGGGAGGGGGGGACAAAGTTTGTTTTGTCAATGTTCAATAACTTTGTAATAGTGTACCATAGCACAGAGACAGCGCTACTCAAGGTTGCTAACGATATTCTTATGAATATGAATTCGCAACGCGTTACGTTACTTGTCCTTTTGGATTTAAGTGCTGCGTTCGATACAGTGGATCATGAGATTTTACTGTCACGCTTGTCTTCGAGCTTTGGTATTCGGGGAAAGGCTCTAGAATGGTTTTCTTCATATTTGTCAGGGCGTAGCCAGCGCATCGTGTTTGACGGAGTTACATCAGAAAGCTGTGATGTGCGCTTCGGGGTCCCACAAGGGAGTTGCCTTGGTCCGCTTCTCTTTGTTATGTACGCTTCAAAGCTTTTTGAGATTGTCCAAGCACACCTCCCTGATGCCCATGGTTTTGCCGATGATACGCAATTATACCTGTCATTCAATCCTAACAATCCCGCTCATCAAACGGAGGCGGTGTCTGCCATGGAGGGATGTATTAGTGACTTGAGGAAATGGATGTATCAGGACAAGCTAAAGTTAAATGACGATAAAACTGAATTTCTTATTATCGGATCTAGACAACAGATTTTGAAAGTTAACCCTTGTACGATTCGCGTTGGCAATACCGAGATCACGCCAGTTTCGGAAGCGCGTAATCTGGGCTCTTGGTTTGATTCAAATTTATCCATGTCCACCCATATTTCTAAGTCTTGTGGTGCTACATTTTGCTGGCTACATAAAATCAAGCGCATAAGTAAATTCCTTGCAAAGGATCAATTAGAAATGATCTTGCATGCCTTTGTTACAAGTAGAATTGACTATTGCAACGGACTTCTCTATGGATTGCCGGACTGTGACATAGTTAAATTACAGCGAGTTCAGAACGCTGCGGAATTACAGCGAGTTCAGAACGTTTTTTTAATTCAATCATATTACGCCTGTTTTACAGGAACTACACTGGTTGCCAGTTAGGTTTAGGATTCATTTTAAGATTTTACTTTTAACTTTCAAAGCTCTTAACGGCTTGGCGCCAGATTATATTAGGGAACTTATTAAGATGAGGAAACATGAACGTTACTCGCTCCGTTCCAATTCGGGTATTACCATCTTACATCCAGTGGGGAAGATGTTAAAATCATTCGGAGACAGATCTTTTAGTGTGGCTGCGCCAACACTCTGGAATGCACTTCCTGTAAGCCTTCGGAGTATCACTTCTCTTTCAATTTTTAAATCCTCTCTGAAAACATATCTTTTTAAGCTAGCTTTTAGCCTCCATTAAATGTATATATTTAAGATTATTAATAGTTGCATGTATAATAGAGTGTATTGTAATGCGCTTTTGATCATTGTATGTAAAAAGCGCAATATAAATTATTAAATTATTATTATTATTAATATTAGCTGAAATGGTCTCAAGGGTTTTGTCCAAGATTGTAGTTTCCAGAATTTTTTTTGATTTGAGAGAAAATTTTCCAGAAAATATTTCAACATTTTGAGATAACTCTGTTTACTACTCAAGTTACAAGTTACAACTATTCTACTTTATTTACACTGTACACGCTAACGTCAGCAGCTTTTAAATATTTTACAGAAATTAATTCCCCTGCCATCCCAATGAGATAAGATGGTAAATATATGCTCTGCAAAGTCTCCAATAAAATGAAAATTAAATAGTAAACAAATAAAAGTAATACTAATAGAATAAATAAGATAGGATACTTACTTAGTTAAGCGTTAGATCCTTACTAGTTGGTCATAACTCATAACTGTGGTATATAACAGACAACTATTGCAATGTACAAGCATACGAAAACCAGCCTAAAGCCTATTATTACTAAGGTACAAATAATACAATAATCATGCATATGTTTTGTTATTTTTGTAATTGTAACATTGCGAATTATACAGAAAATTTCTAGCCTTCGACCCAGGTTCCCAGAAAGAAAAAAAAATTTCCACCTCTGAGCAAAGGTACGAAACAAGAGTGAAATTATTTATACAGAGACTGAAAGAAATGTATACAGTTGGCCTAACATCGAGAAACAACTTGCAAAGACTGTTGCAAAATATTGTACATCTGCTTGGTACAAAAACTGGTCACCACATGCATTAGATATTACTGGTGAAACGTTAGTATCACCTCTCTTGTTTAATTTTATGCCATGGATGTTTGGGTTTTCAGATGACCCAGGAGATGCTGACTACATTGAATTAGATGATCAAACTACATCACAGATTTTTCTCTGTGTCAAGATTTGGCCTATATTTCTAATAGGGGGGAAAGTACAAACACCCAAATAACTAGCACTAGCACTAGCACTATAGCAATGACCGTTTGCAGATGTTTGGTTGTTCTGGCCTGATATTTAAGATTATGAGTGGTTTTGGACATTGTCTCTCACTATCTTCGACAATGGCATATGATTCAATTATTGTACAGGCAACTACATGTATCAACACATCAACATTATTTCAGTAATATCTGATGCATGTGGTGGCCAGTTCTTGTACCAAGCTGATGTACAATTATGCAAGTTATTTCTCAATGTTAGGCCAACTGTATACATTTCTTTCAATGTTGCACTTGTGTACGTGAATCCTTTTGTTCCAATGTCAACATCAGAATCAGACTTTGTAAACTCTGAGAGGTTTCTATGTCATCATCCATAAAACTTTCTGCTACACTAGCTTCAAGACTGAGGCACTCTGCATAAACAATTTCATTCTTGTTCCATAACTTCGGTCTAGGGAAAACAAGTTGTGGAAATTTTTTACACATGTACTTTTCATAACATTGTTTATGGTATTTCACTTATGCTAGGTCCTAACCTGAGTATCAGGCCGTACTTTTTAGGGCACAGGCACGCCTGATCGCGGGCGAAGGGGAGAAAAGTACGGCCTGACACAAAAGCGGCATTTTGCCTGGTTATTCAGTCCAGAATCTGGACTGAGCGCTGATTGGCC